CAAATTTCTTCTTAACAATCTATAGTTTTGGCAAGTCGGTTAGGACATCTACTTTGTGCATGACACAAGTAATTTTTCCAACAATTGTTTACAGACAGATTATTTCACTTATAATTCACTGTGTCACAATTCCAGTGGGTCAGAAGTTTACATACACTAAGTTGACTGTGCCTTTAAACAGCTTGGAAAATTCCAGAAAATGATGTCATGGCTTTAGAAGCTTCTGATAGGCTAATTGACATCATTTGAGTCAATTGGAGGTGTACCTGTGGATGTATTTCAAGGCCTACCTTCAAACTCAGTGCCTCTTTGCTTGACATCATGGGAAAATCAAATGAAATCAGCCAAGACCTCAGAAAAGAATTTGTAGACCTCCACAAGTCTGGTTCATCCTTGGGGTTCATCTGTACAAACAATAGTACGCAAGTATAAACACCATGGGACCACACAGCCGACATACTGCTCAGGAAGGAGACGCGTTCTGTCTCCTAGAGATTAACGTACTTTGGTGCAAAAATGCAAATCAATCCCAGAACAACAGCAAAGGACCTTGTGAAGATGCTGGAGGAAACAGGTACAAAAGTATCTATATCCACAGTAAAACAAGTCCTATATCGACATAACCTGAAAGGCCGCTCAGCAAGGAAGAAGCCACTGCTCCAAAACCGCCATAAAAACACCAGACTATGGTTTGCAACTGCACATGGGGACAAAGATCGTACTTTTTGGAGAAATGTCCTCTGGTCTGATGAAATAAAAATATAACTGTTTGGCCATAATGACCATTGTTATGTTTGGAGGAAAAAGGGGTAGCTTGCAAGCCGAAGAATACCATCCCAACCGTGAAGCATGGGAGTGGCAGCATCATGCTGTGGGGGTGCTTTGCTGCAGGAGGGACTTGTGCACTTCACAAAATAGATGTCATCATGAGGAGGGAAAATTATGTGGATATATTGAAGCAACATCTCAAGACATCAGTCAGGAAGTTAAAGCTTGGTCGCAAATGGGTCTTCCAAATGGACAATGACCCCAAGCATACTTCCAAAGTTGTGGCAAAATGGCTTAAGGACAACAAAGTCAAGGTATTGGAGTGGCCATCACAAAGCACTGACCTCAATCCTATAGAAAATGTGTGGGCAGAACTGAAAAGGCGTGTGTGAGCAAGGAGGCCTACAAACCTGACTTAGTTTCACCAGCTCTGTCAGGAGGAATGGACCAAAATTCACCCAACTTATTGTGGGAAACTTGTGGAAGGCTACCCGAAACATTTGACAACAACGCTACCAAATACTAATTGAGTGTATGTAAACTTCTGACCCACTGGGAATGTGATGAAAGAAATAAAAGCTTAAATAAATAATTCTCTCTACTATTATTCTGACATTTCACATTCTTAAAATAAAGTGGTGATCCTAACTGACCTAAAACAGGGAATTTTTATTAGGATTAAATGTCATGAACTATGAAAAACTGAGTTTAAATGTATCTGGCTAAGGTGTATGTTAACTGTATGTTTACTATGACATTAGCTAATATGGTGACAATGATGTAGGCTATGTGTAGCGGTTAGCAGTTATGGTATGAAAGTTTGGCTTGGAGAGTTTTTTTTGCCTGGTCATAGACAGCTGTTGAGTTGTGCACTGAAGTCCACAAGCAAAGGTGAGAGGAGGAATTATACAATGAGCAAAGTGATCATGCTGTTTGTATGTGGCTGCTATGAAAGTGAACTGTGTGTGCAAGTGGGTGATCAGGGGTTTATTCATTCCGCCGATTCTGTTGAAAAACGTTTCTTAAACGTCCAATAGAAACTCTCGTCAAAATGGAACTATTTGCAACTGTTTGGACTAATGATTACACCCTAGATCAGCTAGATGCAGGCAAGAGTGTGCAAGGCGGAATTAAATGTGTCTCTGTCTGTCACCTTGATTACTCCAATTTGTCTCTAGACATGTACACCTATGTTATAAACTTTAATTAGTAGGCTAGGTTGAAGCAACCTCATGATGGGTATAGGGAAAATTCGAGTATAATGTACACAGTGCAGTGCTATTGAATTTGACATATGAAATGACCACCAATAAACTATTGATCTTACAGTATTCAGTATTCATCGATGTACACTCGGATATTCATCACCATTTACATTTGGTTTACCAAGAGTTGGGGACATGATGTTTAGATAGTATAATTGCATAATTTATTCTCACGTGTTGAGAGGAGGAGGCATCCAGCCAGGGTCGAGGTTAACAAGTTCCCCCTGTTCTGCCACATGTCTCTGGGTCTGTCCCAAGCCTGCATGTTCCACCATCTGCGCAGACTTTTCACTTATCCCTAAAAGTTTTTGATGCCAGAATACATGCAGGATCAAAGGTTCTGTGGTGGAATGTGAGGTCACTTAATATGTCACAGAACAGATACTGTGTACGTTTGATTGATGAACAGGGAGCTGCAAACGACTTGACTGAACTATGCAACTGAACAACAGCTGGATGTGTGTGACTTAAAGGTAAGAACCTTAATATTGCTCCATCTTAGAAACTGTGTGGGAAATTCTGTTTAAAAATATATATATGTTTTCGATGGTTTTTACTCTGTGTATTCATTCCCATTGATTGTTTTTGAAACATTTGTAGCGACGCAGCCAGCAACCTTTGATGTTCAAGTTGCCTAGTGGAGCTTTCACCGATGCTGATGAGAACGAAAGGTATTCTATCAGAAGAACAAAATGTTCAAAGTCTCCAAAAAGGTTTATTCTGCTGAACAGTCGCATGCTTACTGATTCACATGTATTGTATTATATAAACTGTAGATTCTTGCAGTCTTAGATAACAAAGGAACGTCTTGGCTCAACATGTTTTACACATGTTTCACCGCTGCACGTTTTTGAGAACTGTTGCATTTCCTCAGGAATAAATGTGGTGAACAATTCTGTACTCATTCCACTTTAAGATGAAAGGCTAACTGGTTTTCAAGAGAACGTGCATGTAATTAACGAGACGTAAACGTAGGCCATTTTCATTACGGACCCAGTCCACATTGTCGATAGTTTAGCCGCGTGACCCATCATATAATGTCAGTCCTCTGTGACCTATCCATTGGACATATTTAGACTATATTGTGCTAGATGTGCTTGCGTGGTCTGTTATTTTCTGCAGCCTTAATTATACGAGTCTCAAACATATTATTGGATGACATGTGTTTTCACGTGATACATACATACAATATTGCATTTTCAGACATCTCCTAAACTTGATATCCTATTCAAAACTTTGCTGACTGTACATGTCTTAAGGTAAACAAACATGACATGAAATTATCGTCTTTTCTGAGCGAATCAGCTAAATTTAGTTGGACAGTTTCTCCACAGTAGGCTATGTAAGACCTAGTTATAGTTTGGATTTCATTAACTCTAAGGGATAACAGATTTTCATCTCTCTGCTGAAAAATGTAGCGGTGGCCTTGTTGAACCAGCAGCCTGGTCTCATAGACTAGATGTAACATAGTACACGTAAATTCGGGCTACTCAAATTAGTATGATATGTTATGTTTGGTCTAATGCGAATGTCTAGCAACCCAAAGGTTGACTACTCGAATCTCATCATGGACAACTTTAGCATTTTAGTTAATTAACAACTTAGCAATGACTTACTACTTTTGAGCTACTTTTCAACTACTTAGCATATTAGCTAACCCTTCCCCTAACCTTAACCATTTAACCTAACTCCTAACACTAACCCTAACACCTAGCCTAACTAACATTAGCCACCTAGCTAACATTAGCATTAGCCACCTAGCCACCTAGCTAACGTTAGCTTAAACAAATTGGAATGTGTAACATATTGTACAAATTGCAATTCATAACATATTGTACGAATTACAATTCGTAACATACTATAATATTAATTTATTTGTGACATATCATACAAAATGGATGATGGACATCCACAAATTAATACATACTATACGAAATGTAACATATAATACTAATTGGAGTGTCCCGGATTTACATTTACTATCTTAGGTTTACCCCTTTGTCCCATTTGTAACCAGGCGTGTGGCTGACATGGCCTCAGCAGCTGGAACAATTAAACTATGCAATTGGCCTTTTTGGAGTCAGATAATTACTTTATATCCTCCACATTCTTAGTTTAAAAAGTTAATTATTTATTTACTTTCCATACAAAGATATCATAGGTATAGTGTGTTTGGTATCACACTGAAATACTGATTTAAAGGAAAATACCACTCCAAAACTATCTTTTGGTATTTTGTTCATTAGTCCATTGTTGATACAGTCCCAAAATGTTTTGCATGTCAGCTGACATTCATCAATCAAAACATGATTTCTGTTTGTTGCTACATGCTTGAGTACATTTCAGAGAATTGGTTTTAAACTAATGGAGGGTAGCAAAGTCAAGTGGCCAATGGAACCAAAGCTGCAGAGATGTTTTTCTATGGAAAGTGTTTTAGGGCAGCACATGGCACAGGCTCAGAGAGGTCACAACAGCAGACGGCAGCCAAGGTCTGAAGTTAATATTGTAATTTCCCTGAGTTATCCCTGACATCCTGGCAGTAAACACTTCCTCTCATGGAATCCTACGTCAATATCCCTGTCGCCTCACTGTGCTGCTTGGGCCGGGGGAGTAAAGTATTTCAACATGCAGCAGTGACTAGTCTTGTTTGTAGGCTGAGTCCTCAACAAATGCTGAATGGGCTGGACACGTTTCAGACCCAGACCCAGAGAAGATGTTTGAGGTATTTTGTTGATGCCTGTTAATGATTCCGATCCTCCTTTCGACTTATTCATAGAGTCTTAGCTAGTATCTTTGCTTCTCCCTGTGTTCTACAACAGTGTAACTGAAGTGAACTGAACAGCCTCTTCAACAACCAGTGCAATCCCATACTGGGTGTGACTGTGTGAGGCTGTCTGTCTGCGAGGTGTCCCTGGGTCTTGGCTGAGAACAGGAGAAAAACCGAGGGAACAGAAAAAAGATCTGAGCATGGTTCATGCTGCGGCTATGGCTCAGGGGAAGAAGAGACCAACGGTCCCCCCTCCTGATGGGGGCTGGGGCTGGATGATCGTGGCCGGCTGCTTCTTGGTCACTGTCTGCACACGTGCCGTCACTAGGTAAGTCTGGCAGGAGGAGAGGGTCATGGAGGTCCCCTGGCTGGGTCCTGACCCAACTCTGAGAACTGTGGAGTGATAAGCCTGTGTGTTTATTTTACAGTATAATTGGGTGTCCCATCAAATCGGTCTATTAGCAATTTTATTACATGTTTGAGAACAGTTAAGTTTGTGGGACACATTATCATTTCAAACAAAATTCAACAATCATTTTAACCAAACTTGATGCAGGCTATCCATCCATTCTATAATGGTGGGCTATATATTTAATAAAGTGTGTGAATTGAAGGGTACTAAAAAATACGTATTATCATCTTACACAGAAACATTGTACATCCTTTTAAATACATCTGACAATTATTTTCAAACAACACGGTTATGGTACAATACATTTTCTATTACATATGATGAAATGTTTATTATATATGATGTGGGACTGGAAAAGAATGCTCAGAACATAAGAACGTTATTAACCATTTCCCATACTTTTCAAATAACGGAACAGTATAGATCACTTTCGTGTTGTTATTTTCCGGTTCTGTTTCCTGAACCGGTTCCAAACCCTGCATGTAATATAGGTCAACTCTATATATAATGCAACTGACTGAGTATGACTTGAGAACAAGACTGACTGAAGTGACAAGAGCTATCTTCTGTTTCTGATATCACACTCTCCAGTTCAGGTTACACTGGGTGCCTGGTAAACAACCTGCAGGTCAGAAGCAGGTCTTCAGTATAGGACTAAAGTGAAGCTTTAGGGGGGGGGGGGGGGGGGGGGGGATCATTTAGTTATTTTGAATTTTAAGAGGAAGTTTGTTCTGAAGTGTCTGTCCTATATCTGAGAGTCATAAGAAAGATCAAGAAACTATACAGTTGAAGTCGGAAGTTTACATGCACTTAGGTTGGAGTCATTAAAACTCGTTTTTCAACCACTCCACAAATTTCTTCTTAACAAACTATAGTTTTGGCAAGTCGGTTAAGACATCTACTTTGTGCATGACACAAGTCATTTTTCCAACAATTGTTTACAGACAGATTATTTCACTGTATCACAATTCCAGTGGGTCAGAGGTTTACATACACTAAGTTGACTGTGCCTTTAAACAGCTTGGAAAATTCCAGAAAATGATGTCATGGCTTTAGAAGCTTCTGATAGGCTAATTGACATAATTTGAGTCAATTGGAGGTGTACCTGTGGATGTATTTCAAGGCCTACCTTCATACTCAGTGCCTCTTTGCTTGACATCATGGGAAAATCAAATGAAATCAGCCAAGACCTCAGAAGACATCCACAAGTCTGGTTCATCCTTGGGAGCAATTTCCAAACGCCTGAAGGTACCACGTTCATCTGTACAAACAATAGTACACAAGTATAAACACCATGGGACTACGCAGCTGTCATACCGCTCAGAAAGGAGACGCGTTCTGTCTCCTAGAGATGAACGTACATTGGTACGAAAAGTGCAAATCAATCCCAGAACAACAGCAAAGGACCTTGTGAAGATGCTGGAGGAAACAGGTACAAAAGTATCTATATCCACAGTAAAACGAGTCCTATATCGACATAACCTGAAAGGCCGCTCAGCAAGGAAGAAGCCACTGCTCCAAAACCGCCATAAAAAAGCCAGACTACGGTTTGCAACTGCACATGGGGACAAAGATCGTACTTTTTGGAGAAATGTCCTCTGGTCTGATGAAACAAAAATATAACTGTTTGGCCATAATGACCATCGTTATGTTTGGAGGAAAAATGGGGTAGCTTGCAAGCCGAAGAATACCATCCCAACCGTGAAGCACGGGGGTGGCAGCATCATGCTGTGGGGGTGCTTTGCTGCAGGAGGGACTGGTGCGCCTCACAAAATAGATGGCATCATGAGAAAGGAAAATTATGTGGATATATTGAAGCAACATCTCAAGACATCAGTCAGGAAGTTAAAGCTTGGTCGCAAATGTGTCTTCCAAATGGACAATGACCCCAAGCATACTTCCAAATTTGTGGCAAAATGGCTTAAGGACAACAAAGTCAAGGTATTGGAGTGGCCATCACAAAGCCCAATCCTATAGAAAATTTGTGGGCAGAACTGAAAAAGCGTGTGCGAGCAAGGAGGCCTACGAACCTGACTCAGTTACACCAGCTCTGTCAGGAGGAATGGGCCAAAATTCACCCAACTTATTGTGGGAAGCTTGTGGAAGGCTCCCCGAAACGTTTGACCCAAGTTAAACAATTTAAAGGCAATGCTACCAAATACTAATTGAGTGTATGTAAACTTCTGACCCACTGGGAATGTGATGAAAGAAATAAAAGCTTTCTACTATTATTCTGACATTTCACAATCTTAAAATAAAGTAATGATCCTAACTGACCTAAGACAGGGAATTTTTACTAGGATTAAATGTCAGGAATTTTGAAAAACTGAGTTTAAATTTATTTGGCTAAGGTGTATGTAAACTTCTGACTATAGATTCTTTCATTTTTTTCTTCTTATTTTATGTATTTATTTCCTTATTTTAGGCACTAAACTATCTTAAATCTTAAATCCCATTCCGTACTAGTGTGTATTGGGTATATTTTGTGAAATTGTTAGATATTACTTGTTAGATATTACTGCACTGTCGGAGCTAGAAGCACAAGCATTTCGCTACACCCGCTATAACATCTGCTAAACACGTGTATGTGACAAATAAATTTTGATTTGAAAATATATACTTCCATAAAAATTTTTAACTGGTACAGTGGACCTTCTGACGAGTCTTTTGAGGCTTCCTAAGGCAAAACGGAGAGTCTCAGCTTTCCTTAGAGGGGTCATATTAGTGTGTAGCCCAAACTGTTCGGACGCTACAGACAGAAGTTGGCAGAAGAGGCTGTACCAACTTCAGAAGAGTCTTCTGAAACTTGTGGGCGTCCAAACCGTTCGGACGCTACAGACGTTTTCGTGAGAGGACCGGTTTTCGGGATGTCTCATGGTCCGACAAACACGCTCTAGTCCTGCCTCCTTTCACCGCAGATGCGGAAGGGCAATATTGGCCGATGCGGTGGATTGAGACGCAGCTAAATAAACACAAATCTCTAGTTTAAACAGCCAGATTTTTAGAAAACAATCAAACAAGGAAGAGCATGTTTGGAATGTCCCGCCAACATTATTCAATCATTTTCAACCAGCCTTTTCCTGGTCGCTGATGGTTGTAAACTGATAATGCCTGCTCAGAACGTCACCTTGAGCCTTTACTCCAGGGTTCTTCAATTCCGGTCCTGGAGGGCCGAAACACTTCTGTTTTTTATTTCTACCTGGTAGTTAATTGCACTCACCTGGTGTCCCAGGTCTGAATTAGCCCCTGATTAGAAGGAGAGGATGAAAAACAGAGGTGTTTCGGCCCTCCAGGACCGGAATTGAAGAACCCTGCTTTACTCTATTGCACATTGTGACTCTGCCAGAGATAATCTAAAGTAGTAATTGGTCAGAATTGGAAGGAATGGGGGAAATTCCACCAAGAGTTTGAGAGTAACCCAAGGTAATAAATCTGGGCAGTGAACTCCTGATCCTCTGCTTTCTCGATATGCATCAGTGATCCCAAGGTTCTTTGAGGTCTAGTGAGTGAGTTTAAAACCCTAAAACAGCTGTAGCGGACAGCGTGCGTATACAGGTTTTTGTGTGTGCGTGTGTGAGGAAACAGCAGGCTGACGGAGGCCTGCCGTGTGATAGGTCCCCCATGTGCGTTCTCTGGCCAGTGCTGGAGAGGACATGAAGATCAGATGGCCATCACATTCACACTGAGGGATTTGTCCCTTATCGTCTGCCTGGTGCTAGTCCTGTACAGTTTGTACAGGTGCAGCCATGCTGCAGACTCGGACGGAGGAGCTTGTGGCTCATTAACCCCCAAGCAGGCGTTCTTCCCACACGTCCCAGGCTTTTTACAGCTCTCCCCTCAGCTCCATGATTACACAATTCATTACGGTTGCATCACTCCCTCTGACCACTCAGGTCATCACCATGTCTAGCTGGAGAAGAGTAATTAGATAATTGAAGAAACCTCAGTGTGTTCCGAGAACGTTTGCTGTATACACTCAGAAGTGTGTGTGTGTGTGTGTGCGTCACAGGAGGTTGGTGGCACCTTAATTAGGGAGAACGGGCTCATGGTAATGACTGGAGCGGAATCAGTGGAATGGTATCAAATACATCAAACACATGGTTTCCAGGTGTTTGATGCCATTCCATTTGCGCCGTTACGGCCATTATTATGAGCCGTTCTCCGCTCAGCAGCCTCCTGTGGTGTGTGTGCACCATTGTAACAAATTTGTGTCGAATAAACCACTAGGAAAAATATACCTATTTGAAATATGCAAGATGGTTCTTATTTGTCATGATTTCTCTTCATCTTGAGCCTTTTCTTGTGTTCCAGATGCATCTCCATCTTCTTTGTGGAGTTCCAGATGCACTTTGGAGCGGACTATTCAGGGACAGCCTGGATCCACAGTCTGGTGGACTGCACCACTATGCTGTGTGGTAAGTCATCATGGCCCTCAGTCAAGTGCTGCTTCATCAACAGTGATCTGGTTTCACGCTGGGCCTGGCACTGGCTTGCAACGCGTGGTCTAGACAGGTTGCTCAATGCCAAGGGGAGTCATGAAATGGATTTGGTCCATTGGATGTAAACATATAAGCTGTAAAAGGACAAAGGAGAAGTTAACTCAGTTTGACAACTAAGACAACTAGGTTTGATATTTGGTGCATCATTTCCCTTCCAATTAGGACACATGATGACGACAATGTAATGTAAATGTGCTTTTTACAATCACACAGCAAAGTTACAGTATGCTTCAGTTGATAAAGTCACAAGCCGCTGACTGGCAGTGCCCTTGCAACTCAGCCAACCCATCGGTCAGTTTTTGCTGCTTCTCTTAGATTGGGATGTGCCCCTGTTTGACCCCTTTACATAAGAAAGTAGTGATGTTTTGGTTATTTTAGTTAGTTCCACCCAACCGTCTGGGATACACTACTTTCTGTCATCTCCACCATGGACATGTTGATTGCCCTTTAAAAACCTTTTTGGTTGAAGGCATAGAATTGTTCCTTGTTAGTTGGTACACATTAGTGCAGTAGTATTTAAGAACAAAGTACTGACAATCCCTTGTCTGACTAAAGTAGACGTTAGAGAGAGGGGTTTGCTTCTTTCCCTGTCGATTTAGCTCTTGAGAGAACAATGTTAGCAACACACAGACGTTAGCGACACACAGAGAACATCTTGAAATACCAAAACAGTGTCACAACACCATGACCCAACACAGAGGGAGTTTGTTTATTTTGCTTGCGCCCGGTGAAATGTGACACTATGATAGAGACGGTAAAAGCATGTAAAAATAGACCCTTATGCTGACTCGTAGCAGCCTTTATCAAGGCTGACTTAGGTAACCTGTTTAGGCAGGCGTATGCCAAGGCCAGTCAGCATTGGTCACAGAGGACTGCTGCGGATCACAAATCCCTCATGGTCTTGTATTAACTCACAGTATCAATGGTCCAAAGTGACAAAAATGTAAGTAAATGTTAACTTGCAACTATTTAATATGTGTTGAAACTAGCAGTGGGGTATCTTTCTGGAGCTTAACTTTATGCTGAATTGGTGTTACTCCCTCTGTTCCTGTATCTGCATGTGTTTGTTCATGTCGAGGTGTGAGAGGTTGGTGAAAAGTAAAGAACTGGTTTGTCCTCATATTACCTGTCTTTTGGCAGAAGTTTGTCGGCCATGTTCTAGGGTTAAAACAAATAATAACATACTGTACTGAGTTTTGGACGACTGTGTTCTGGAGACTATGTGCACGGATCCATTAACTCTAGTGGTATGAAACATTATTTTCACAATATGCAATGTAAAAATTAGAATAAGAGCGATCAGAGTTAAATCAATTAATTATCCTGCCCACCCAAAAAAACATAATGTGAAAACGCAGAGTTTCAGCCCGAGCCTGATATTCTGAGAAGTGATTAGGGCGGGCCGGGACCGGGCTTAGGTTTGCACAACCTCGTAGGCTATGTGGAGTTGCTGTGGTGAAACAGAGAGAGAACGTACATCCTATCCCACTCTCTGCTCTGATAGACAGCCTACAACTCTCTCTCCATCTCTCCAGCGTTGCACTTCAACATTTATCTAAAATGATTTAATGTGCCTTTTAGTTGTCTTTTTTTCCTGATAGAATTGTTCTGTAATGCTTACATACCGGTATGCAACATTATTTGCGGTTGAATATATGACACATTGTTGGAGGTAGAATGCTGGCCTATAGAGCGCAGGCGGGAACACATCTGCCATTTGATAAGAACAGACAGTAGCCCGCTTAAGCCACAACATTGAAAACCAACTGAAATCTGTTCGGGAACATCAATATTGTCAATATAGTCTACCCTAACCCATCCATACCGTATATGCATACTACTGCAGTCCACAGTCAAAGACGATTAGGCCTACTAGAGTTTGTTTCAGTAGCCTAGACCAATTATTTACTAAAGACCTCTTAAATCTGTGTGCTTTTATGTTTTGTTGCTGTGTGTAATATGTTAAGAACGTTACGGCACAATCATGTTTTGTAATTCAGGCTTGGGCTCATACAATATTTTTTTATGTAAGGCTCTGGTAGGGTTGGGCTTCAATTGTCGGGCCCGATCAAAGCATGGCCTATGGTCATTTTATTTCTCATGTGTTCCGCTACCTCAGAGCCCCCAAGCCACCCCCCTCTCACGAGCAACTGACAGTACTACTGTAGTTCAGCAGACAATCCCATACTAACATGTTTACTTTGTTGTGATTGACAGCTCCTCTAGGCAGCTTCATTGGGAACCATCTGTCGTGCCGCATCGCTGTGATCCTTGGGGGCTTTCTGTCCTCCTTCGGCCTGGTCCTCAGCTCTTTCGCTACCAGCCTGGAGTACCTGTACCTCACCCTGGGGGTCCTCACAGGTGGGTCCCCCCCAATGACAGTGCATTCGGAAAGTATTCAGACCCCTTGTTTATTTTCAATTTACAATCTGTAGAAACAATGAGAATAGAAGGGTTCAGAACTTTTGTGAAACATCACAGTACAGTTGAAAAATGTATGGCAAATAGAAATCCAATATGGATGGTGTTAAGAGATAGATGGGAGGTGTTGAATGGAGCTGAAGGATGGGACTAATAACAACTAACAACAACTAATAACAACAAGATAACTAATGTAAAGCATACTGTGTCCATAATAAGTATATAGGTTATAGGTTGAGTGCTTTTGTGAAAGAGCACAGTTAGAAAGATATGGCATATAGAAGCAAACCGGATGGACATTATGAAAATGATTGGAGAGGTTGAGGGTAGAGGAAGTTCAGGAGTAAAAACAAACAAAATATAATTATTGTAAAATTGACTGTGTCCATAAAATGTATATAGTATGTAAACTTAGCAAAAAAAGAAACGTCCTCTCACTGTCAACTGCGTTTATTTTCAGCAAACTTAACATGTGTAAATATGTTAAGTAAATATGTTAAGGCGGCAGGTAGCTTAGTGGTTAAGAGCGTTGTGCCAGTAACCGAAAGGTCGCTGGTTCTAATCCCCGAGCCGACTAGGTGAAAAATCTGTCGATGTGCCCTTGAGCAAGGCACTTAACCCTAATTGCTCCTGTAAGTCGCTCTGGATAAGAGCGTCTGCTAAATGACCAATTATTTATTTATTTATTTATAAATATTTATGTGAACATAACAAGATTCAACAACTGAGACATAAACTGAACAAGTTCCACAGACATGTGACTAACATAAATGGAAGAATGTGTCCCTGAACAAAGGGGGGGTCAAAATCAAAAGTAACAGTCAGTATCTGGTGTGGCCACCAGCTGCATTAAGTACTGCAGTGCATCTCCCCCTTGTGGACTGCACCAGATTTGCCAGTTCTTGCTGTGAGATGTTACCCCACTCTTCCAAGACACCTGCAAGTTCCCGTACATTTCTTTGGGGACTGGCCCTAGCCCTCACCCTCCGATCCAACAGGTCCCAGACGTGCTCAATGGGATTGAGATCCGGGCTCTTCGCTGGCCATGGCAGAACACTGACATTCCTGTCTTGCAGGAAATCACGCACAGAATGAGCAGTATGGCTGGTGGCATTGTCATGCTGGAGGGTCATGTCAGGATGAGCCCAGGAAGGGTACCACATGAGGGAGGAGGATGTCTTCCCTGTAACGCACAGCGTTGAGATTGCCTGCAATGACAACAAGCTCAGTCCGATGATGCTGTGACACGCCCCAGACCATAACGGACCCTCCACCTCCAAATCGATCCCGCTCCATAGTACAGGCCTCGGTGTAACGCTCATTCCTTCGACGATAAACGTAAATCCGTCCATCACCCCTGGTGAGACAAAACCGCGACTCGTCAGTGAAGAGCACTTTTTGCCAGTCCTGTCTGGTCCAGCGACGGTGGGTTTGTGCCCATAGGCGACGTTGTTGCCGGTGATGTCTGGTGAGGACCTGCCTTACAACAGGCCTACAAGCCCTCAGTCCAGCCTCTCTCAGCCTATTGCGGACAGTCTGAGCATTGATGGAGGGATTGTGCGTTCCTGGTGTAACTCGGGCAGTTGTTGTTGCCATCCTGTACCTGTCCCATAGGTGTGATGTTCGGCTGTACCGATCCTGTGCAGGTGTTGTTACACGTGGTCTGCCACTGTGAGGAAGATCAGCTGTCCGTCCTGTCTCCCTGTAGCGCTGTCTTAGGCGTCTCACAGTACGGACATTGCAATTTATTGCCCTGGCCACATCTGCAGTCCTCATGTCTCCTTGCAGCATGCCTAAGGCACGTTCAAGCAGATGAGCAGGGACCCTGGGCATCTTTCTTTTGGTGTTTTTCAGAGTCAGTAGAAAGGCCTCTTTAGTGTCCTAAGTTTTCATAACTGTGACCTTAATTGCCTACTGTCTGTAAGCTGTTAGTGTCTTAGCGACCGTTCCACAGGTGCATGTTCATTTATTGTTTATGGTTCATTGAACAAGCATGGGAAACAGTGTTTAAACCCTTTACAATGAATATCTGTGAAGTTATTTGGATTTTTATGAATTATCTTTGAAAGACAGGGTCCTGAAAAATTGACGTTTCTTTTTTTGCTGAGTTTATAAGATGGAAGTAGAGGCCTAAGTGTTGTTGTTCACTAGTTTACTCCAATTAGGGAAGGGGTGGTGGGGTTGGAAAGTAATAAAGGGAAATATATATATTTTTAAGGATATGTAAATGTATGTATATGTATTTATATGTATGTATGTGTATGTATATGTGTGTATATAACAATTACACTGATGGAAGTTACAATCTATCTGGGGCGGCAGGTAGCGTAGTGGGTAAGAGCGTTGTGCTAGTAATCGAAAGGTTGCTGGTTCTAATCCCCGAGCCGACTAGGTGAAAAATCTGTCGATGTGCCCTTAAGCAAGGCACTTAACCCTAATTGCTCCTGTAAGTCGCTCTGGATAAGAGCGTCTGCTAAAAGACTTAAATGTAAATGTAAAAATATTAAAGCTGATCTACCCCCCAAAAAATCAAAAATATAAAATCAGATCCCTTGAGTTTTTCCACATTTTGTTACGTTACAGCATTATTCTAAAATGGATTCAATTGTTTTTCCCCCCTCATCAATCTACACACAATACCCCATAATGACAAAGCAAAAACTGTTTTTTTTATTCACATTTACATAAGTATTCAGACCCATTACTCAGTACTTTGTTGAAGCACTTTTGGCAGCGATTACAGCCTCAACACTTCTTGGGTATGATGCTACAAGCTTGGCACACCTGTATTTGAGGAGTTTCTCCCATTCCTCTCTGCAGATCCTCTCAAGCTCTGTCAGGTTGGATGGGGAGCGTCGCTGCACAGTTATTTTCAGGTCTCTCCAGAGATGTTTGATCGGGTTGAAGTCCGGGCTCTGGCTAGGCCACTCAAGGACATTCAGAGACTTGTCCCGAAACCACTCCTGCATTGTCTTGGCTGTGTGCTTAGAATCGTTGTCTTGTTGGAAGGTGAACCATCGCTCCAGTCTCAGGTTCTGAGCGCTCTGGAGCAGATTTTCATCTAGGATCTCTCTGTACTTTGCTCCGTACATCTTTCCCTCGATCCTGACTAGTCTCCCAGTCCCTGCCGCTGAAAAACATCCCCAAAGCATGATGCTGCCACCAACATGCTTCACCGTAGGGATGATATTGGCCAGGTGATGAGCGGTGCCTGGTTTCCTCCAGACATGACGCTTGGCATTCAGGCCAAAGAGTTCAATCTTGGTTTCATCAGACCAGAGAATCTTGTTTCTCATGGTCTGAGAGTCCTTTAGGTGCCTTTTGGCAAACTCCATGCGGGCTGTCATGTGCCTTTTACTGAGGAGTGGCTTCCGTCTGACAACTCTACCATAAAGGCCTGATTGGTGGAGTGCTGCAGAGATGGTTGTCCTTCTGATTCTCCCATCTCCACAGAGGAACTCTGTAGCTCTATCAGAGTGACCATCGGGTTCTTGGTCACCTCCCTGACCAAGGCCCTTCTCCCCAGATTGCTCAGTTTGGCCGGGCGGCCAGCTCTAGGAAGAGTCTTGGTGGTTCCAAACTTCTTCCATTTAAGAATGATGGAGGCTACTGTGTTCTTGGGGTCCTTCAAAGCTGCATAATTTTTTTTGGTACCCTTCCACAGATATGTGTCTAATTTAATCCATTTTAGAATAAGGCTGTAAGGTAACAAAATGTGAAGGGGTCTGAAGACTTTCCGAATGCACTGTATATATGAATGGACAAAGCCATCAAACATGTGACACCATTCCTTCCTATGTGAAGACTCAATAGCGCATTTGAAGCCAAGGAAGTCGGTTGAGATGGCGTCTCATGTGGGAGATGAATGTAGACATAACATGCGCAGTTTGAGCTAATCCAGGAAGTGATGTTGCAGGCTGGCTCAGTGCTGCCCCCTTAAGACACTTTAAATCCAATGTATTATTATTATTATTATTATTATTATTATCATTAAGGCCCCTATAAATCATGCAAATCATGTAATTCAGGGACACTTGGTAGACATACCAAAAACAAAAGGGATAACGTAGTGTGGCTCATAAAACAACAACAACCTTTTCCTCTTTCGATTTACAGGTATTGGATTTGCCCTCTGCTACACCCCTGCCATAGCCATGGTGGGCTCATATTTCTGTGAGAGGAAAGCCCTGGCGTACGGGATCGCCATGTCAGGCAGTGGCATCGGGACCTTCATCCTGGCCCCTGTCGTCCAGCTGCTCATAGAGCACTACTCATGGCGTGGGGCCCTGCTCATACTGGGGGGCGTTGTTGCCAACCTGTGTGTCTGTGGGGCCCTACTGCGCCCTATCACTCTGAAAGAAGAAGAGGAGGCTCATGGTCCAGTCCCGTTGGACACCGAGTGTGGATATGGGGTGAAAGCTCCGGTGGTGAGCATGTTAGAGGAACCACTGGCGATCAACAACAACAACAACAGCCGCCGCTGCTTCTGCTTCCAGTCCATGCAGGAGTACTGCTTCCTGCTCATGCCTGACTTCCTGATGCTGGCAGTGAGCTTCTTGTTCCTAGCCAGCGGCTGCAGCCTGCCCTTCGTCTACCTGGTTCCGTACGCACTGGATGTGGGCGTGAGCCACCAGCAGGCCGCCATCCTCATGTCCATCCTGGGGGTCATAGACATCGTGGGGAACATCACCTTCGGCTGGCTCGTAGACAGGAGGTAGGCCAAAGTTTGAAAGATTTTTGTTCCATTGAGCATGCCACCACAATAAAGGTATTTTAATTCCCCCTTGCTCTTTAATAGGCCGGCCTTCCTTTATTTCGAATGGAAGACAGGTTCAAAATGTACCTTTATTTGTTGCGTTGAGTCTTTCTTTAGGTCTTCCTCTACAACATTCCTCTTGGAGTTTGTGTGAAAATCAGAAGCTATGCTTTAACATAGATATGGGTCCAGCCTTTTCATATCCAGTTCAGATTCAGAGTGTTTATCAGTCACATTTAGAGTTCAGTCATTTTTTGTAATCTCACCATTTAGTGAACTGTTTCTCACCCAGTTTTACTCTAGCGAAATGGTCAAGATAAAATTACCCAATTTTATCTTGAAGATAAAGCTGGTTTCCTCTGTGTTATGATGAGTTTCTGGTATTGAGAAGTTCAAGATGCAAGAATTTACTTAGACATTCTGTGGAGATTTCATACCAAGTATTTATTGAATCACGAGCTCGTGGGTTCATCTAACCAACGGACATAGCTTTGCCCTTCATCAGTTGAACTAACTTGAACAAAGAAGACACTCTACCTTATACACCCTTTATTACCATCTTCCTGGCATACATCTGGCAAGTCTCCATGGGCACTCCCTGTCTTTGATGTTCATCACTCTTTACCCCAAGTCACTATCCTGTCCATCACTCATGCTATCCTAAACATCACTCATCTACCTTGACATAATGGAATGTAGACTTCATGGCCCCAAACCACTCATCTCTTAACTCTTCCTCTGTCCTCACAATCCTATAACATGACATCATTACACTCTGACAAGCCATTGACAGCTAAGCCGCCGATCATTCAGATGGTCAATATGGACAATCTGTGTTTTTAGACTGATTGTGTCCACAATTTTTCTCACCCCCAGGTGCCTGAAGAAGTATCGTAATGTGTGCTACATGATAGCAGTAGGCATGGAGGGACTGTGCTGCCTCTTTATCCCACTCCTGCGGACGTTCGCCCTGCTGGTGCCTTTCTCTGTGTTTTATGGGTACTTTGATGGCGCCTACGTGGCCCTCATACCTGTGGTGACCTCAGACATTGTGGGGACAAGTAACCTCTCCTCCGCTCTGGGGATTGTCTACTTTCTACATGCCATTCCTTACCTGCTCAGCCCTCCAATAGGAGGTAAGTACTAACCAATTGTAGCACAGGAGGTGGACAAAAGAGATAAAGGTAAATGTCTCCACGTTGTTTGCTGATCGCAAAAGTGGTCTTTATGAAAGCTTTTAGCGGTACAAAAGCCATTGTTATTGCTTCACTAAAAGCTTTGCCAAAGACCACATTTGCAAGCTGTAAACAATGAGTAGACATTGACCTTCTTTCTGGACCTCCCATATTAGGTAGAGCAAGCCTGCTGGTCTCTTTCAACTAATGCAACAGCAAACAATCTCACTTACAGTAACCTTATGTCATTCTAAAGTGACCCACTTATTCAGTCCTGATTCTGAAATGTTTTGTAGTTGTTGACTAAACCTAGTCCTGGACTAAAAACCTATTTCAATGGAGAACTTCCATCTGTGTCTGGAAAACCGCCCTGAAGAGTACACCATTGATGTTTCATTGGTCAATTAATGATCAATGTTGCAAATGTTTACCTATGGATGATAATGTTTTGTCAAGGATGTATCTTGGCATGAACAATACACCATCAATGCTTCATTGCTCAATTAATTACAAATTTTGCAAATGTTCAGGTGACGTTACTTTGAAAAGATTGTTTCATAGATGCACAAATGTTGCATTAAGTGCAGCAATAGTTTGTTAAATTATCCACCAGTGTACTTTTACTGATTAAAAAGGATTCATTCTAAATGTATTAACACATGCATTAGTCAGGAAGTCAACAAGACGTAAATTTTTGTCTTCCATCCATCAAGTGAATGTTCATACCTCCTTCCTCCTCCTCCCTCTGCAGGCTGGCTGGTTGACACCACAGGCACCTACACGGCCACCTTCTTCCTCAGTGGCTTCGCCCTCATCTCCAGCTCCCTGGTCATCAGCACGGTGACGGGGATACGCCACTGTCGCAGGACCCAAAAGCACAGAAACAAAAATAAAAACACAGACCCCAAACAGGAGCCTTGCCGATCCGACTTCTACACAGCCTCAACTAAAGATGTGAACCCTTCAGTCAACACAGCAAATTCTTAACATTGGACGCTTTTGGGTAGTTATGCATTTCTTTTGTTGGAATACCAAAGTACATTGAAGATTATGAGAAACGATCATCAATTGGTACTCATAATCTAGCGTGATAGTTCAGGATTGGGAATGACTTTCCTCAGAAAGAGCCATTATACACGGACACTAAATGGAAGGTAAATAATTCTGCCATAACCAGATAAACTTCAGCCAAAATATTGACTTTCTACAAGTAATCTCTCTATCATGCCTGTGATGTTATTGCACATTTGATGTGCCTTTCTCTTTCAGGGTTGCCATGACTGCCAATTAAAATGTAACTAAGGAAGTTGATCAATTTGAATATCACTGAAGATTCAGACAGGGTTATAGCGCCTTTCTGTAATAGATTTTTTCTGAAGACAGTCTTCAGGTTGTTTCGTAATACCTTATATTGACAGGAGAGTGCAGTCATGATCCAAGGCCAGAGTGGGATGGCTCCTTTGTAAAAGTCTATTCACAGCTGCTGGCAGATTTTTCCATGAGCAGATGGTCAGGGAAGCCCAAACAGATATAGTATTTAACAAAAACAGACTCATTTCGAACCTTGATTACATTGGGATATGATCACATATGCCTCTCTATGCGTGGGAATAGTTAAGAACAGATTTCATCAATTAAAATGACTTTCAGCTGATTTCATGGTGATTTTACAATATTTTATGTCCAACAACAATTTTTTTTTATTTTTTTTTATATATATATATATATATATATATATATATATATACACACACTGAAAAAAATATAAACGCAACAGTGTGGGTCCCATGTTTCATCAGCTGAAACAAAAGATCCCAGAAATGTTCCATACACACAAAAAGCTTATTTCTCTCAAATTATTTGCACAAATTTGTTTACATCCCTGTTAGTGAGCATTTCTCCTTTGCCAAGAAAATGTATTAAGAATCTGATTAAACAGCATGATCATTGCTTAGGTGCACCTTGTGCTGGGGACAATAAAATACCACTCTAAAGTATGAAAAATGTGTGCACTCTGGATAAGAGTGGATAAGAGCGTCTGCTAAGCGTCTGCTAAATGACTAAAATGTAAATGTAAAATGTGCAGTTTTGTCACACAACACAAGGCTACAGATGTCTCAAGTTTTGAGGGAGCCTGCAATTGGCATGCTGACTTCAGGAATGTCCACCAGGAGCTGTTGCCAGATAATTGAATGTTCATTTCTCTACCATAAGCCGCCTCCAACTTCGTTTTAGAGAATTTGGCAGTACGTCCAACCAGCCTCACATTCGCTGATGTCAACGTTTGCTGATGTCAACGTTGTGAACAGAGTGCCCCGTGGTGATGGTGGGTTTATGGTATGAGCAAGCATAAGGCACAGACAATGGGCACAATTACATTTTATCGATGGCAATTTGAGGGAAAAAACATACTGTGATGAGATCCTGATGCCCATTCTTTTTAAGGTATCTGTGACCAACAGATGCATATCTGTAGTCCCAGTCATGTGAAATCCATAGATTAGGGCCTAATGAATTGACTGATTTCCTCATATGAGCTGTAACTCAGTAAAATCAATGAAATTGTTGCATGTGGCATTTCTATTTTTGTTCAGTATACGTACACTACCGGTCAAAAGTTTTAGAACACCTACTCATTCAAGGGTTGTTCTTTATTTTTACTATTTTCTACATTGTAGAATAATAGTGAAGACATCAAAACTATGAAATAACACATGGAATCATGTAGTTACCAAAAAAGTGTTAAACAAATCAAAATATATTTTATATGTGAGATTCTTCAAATAGCCACCCTTTGCCTTGATGACAGCTTTGCACACTCTTGGCATTCTCTCAACCAGCTTCACCTGGAATGCTTTTCCAACAGTCTTGAAGGAGTTCCACATATGCTGAGCACTTGTTGGCTGCTTTTCCCTCACTCTACGGCCCGACTCATCCCAAACCATCTCAATTGGGTTGAGGTCGGGGGATTGTGGAGGCCGGGTCATCTGATGCAGCACTACATCACTCTCTTTCTTGGAAAAATTGCCCTTACACAGCCTGGAGGTGTGTTGGGTCATTGTCCTGTTGAAAAACAAATGATAGTCCCACTAAGCCCAAGCCAGATGGGATGGCGTATCGCTGCAGAATGCTGTGGTAGCCATGCTGGTTAAGTGTGCCTTGAATTCTAAATAAATCACAGACAGTGTCACCAGCAAAGCACCCTACACCATAACGCCACCTCCTTCATGCTTTACGGTGGTAAATACACAAGCTGAGATCATCCATTCACCCACACCGCGTCTCAAAAAGACACAGTGGTTGGAACAGAAAATCTCAAATTTGGACTCCAGACCAAAGGACACATTTGCACCGGTCTAATGTCCATTGCTCGTGTTTCTTGGCCCAAGCAATTCTCTTCTTCTTATTTGTGTCCTTTAGTAGTGGTTTCTTTGCAGCAATTCGACCATGAAGGACTGATTCACAGTCTCCTCTGAACAGTTGATGTTGAGATGTGTCTGTTACTTGAACTCTGTGAAGCATTTATTTGGGCTGCAATTTCTGAGGCTGGTAACTCTAATGAACGTATCCTCTGCAGCAGAGTTAACTCTGGGTCTTCCATTCCTGTTGCGGTCCTCACGAGAGCCAGTTTCATCATAGCGCTTGATGGTTTTTGCGACTGCACTTAAATACATTTTAAAAGTTCTTGAAATGTTGTGTATTGACTGACCTTCATGTCTTAAAGTAATGATGGACTGCTTATTTGAGCTGGTCTTGCCATAATATGGACTTGGTCTTTTACCAAATAGGGCTATCTTCTGTATACCCTCACACCCGCACCCCCACCCCCACCCCCCTCACCCACCATGTCACAACACAACTGATTGGCTCAAACGCATTAAGAAGGAAAGAAATTCCATAAATTAACTTTTAAGAAGGCACACCTGTTAATTGAAATGCATTCCAGGTGACTACCTCATGAAGCTGGTTGAGAGAATGCCAAGAGTGTGCAAAGCTGTCATCAAAGCAAATGGTGGCTATTTGAAGAATCTCAAATATAAAATATTGATGATGATTCCATAGGTGTTATTTCATAGTTTTGATGTCTTTCACTATTATTCTACAATGTAGAAAATAGTTAAAATAAAGAAAAACCCTTGAATGAGTAGGTGTTCTAAAACTTTTGACCGGTAGTGTGTGTGTGTGTATATATATATATATATATATATATATATATATATTATTTCTTTGCTCAGAAAATTTGGGGGGCCAAATAAAAGCACCCACAGGCAACCCTGGTCTCTGATCTATCAAAATGGATGTTAATGGACACCTTAATGACTGGAACTTCTTATGAATTAATGATGAATTAGTCATTATTCATTTATAAAGGTTGGTGATGTACATTTTCATACCAATTTCATACACAGTAATCGATGACATTAAAGACGGGATGATTTTAGCTTAATACTGTATGTATTGTGTACACCAAATTGCATAGTTCTGTAAAGATATACAAAATTGATTATTACAATGCCACTTGATGCAGCATGTTACTGTGTACTTAAATCAGAGGGCTAGGAGGACAGTTCTCTTGTTCTATATTAGAATATCCCTTGTTAGACCTTTCTGAGCTTGGCATTAAAGGTATACTCAGCCATATGACATCATCATACACAATGGGTGATGATGTCATATTTGTTGATTCTACCCATAATGGATTAAGATGAAAGGGAAGGTGTCCTAGCACCCTTGGTTTAATTGCATGAGCACCACGGTCATTGACAATATACATTTTGACTCTGTAAGGCCCTGAAAGCTGTTACAACTTCAAGAAGACTCAGACTAACACTAAGCATTTTGATGTTGTTTTTTCTTTCAATAAATTGTTTTTTTTTTGTCATACAGTAGTGGAAATAATAAAATTGTTTTATTAAAGTGTATTGTAAATAAAAGTGCAGTAAATGCCTATAAACCTAAAAGCACATGTAGAATACAATAATATATTTAAATTTCATAACTATATCTTCAAATGACCCAAACCATACTTACACACACAAACATAAAGCAATTTCTGTGTTTTTTTTAAAACTATGCTAAATCATATCAATCTTCAATCAGGGAGAATTTTAACTAGGTCTAACAAAGATTAAGTGGATGCATGCACCCTTGCAGGCTTTATTACTCGATTATTGAGTGTAGATTAACGTTTTATTGCTGTAGAGAGAGGCGAAGTTCACAGAGTGCAGAGAGGTATTCAGCATTGCAATCATGCACCACAGCCTTATCATACCACTCTATGGCCTGTTCTTTCTTCCCCTCCACTCTATAGACAAACCCCAGAATACCACAGGCCTCTCCATCCATGGGGTCTTGGGAGACACGCCTCTCTGCGATCATTTTCAGTTTATGGGCACAACTCTTCCCTTCAGCAGTGTCCTTCTGCAGTTCCAAACCTTCTGTGTAGTGCTTGATAGCCAGAGGTTCACATTTGTTGTGATACTGCTGGAACTGGCCGTACATCAAGTTGACCACCTGCAGACTGTCATTCTTAGCTAAGGCTTTCTCAAAGGTTTTCTGGAACAGTTCCTCTGCCTTGGTGATATCTTTACACTCTCCGTAGAGCAGTGCAAGCTCAGCCATGGCATAGATGAAAGAAGACTTCAGTGAAGTAGCCATCTCCAGATGTTGAATGCACTTACAGAGTAGCTTCTGGATCTCAGCACCCTTACCATGGAAGCTTCCACTCTTGCATACTGAGTTCTTTTTTTTCTTGTAGCAGAGAGCCAATTGATGGTGTATTATGGCAGACTGGCTTGTACGCTTTAGTGCTCTGTTCAACAGAGCAATGGACTTGTCAACGTGCCCCTGTTGCCGGAGAAACTTCCCTACATAACGTGTCACGTGCGGACAGTCTGGGGACATCTCCAGAGCTTTCTCCACTAACTCCTCTGCCTCCCCAAATCTTTTATAGATAGCCAGTTTCAGGCCCAGTAGGACCATGGGGACTGCGTCTTGTGGGTTCATCTCTATGGCACGTCTCAGCTGCTTAATAGCTGGCGAGTCATCAACACTCGAGAGCTCTTTTTCTGTACGATACAATGCAATAGCGTAACCTGCATTCCACTCACTCTCCTCAGGCTCCAGTTCCAGAGCTTTCTTGAAGCATTCTAGTGCTTTGTCATAGTATTTATAGGAGAACTTGAGGAAGGTCCAACCCTTCTCGCCATAGACCTCAGGGTGGAGGACAGATGTGGAACTAGTTGGAAACTTCTCTTTCATCTCCTCCAGTTTCTCTAAGTAGCTCTGGCACTTGACGTAATCACCCACATGGTAATGTAACCAGGAAAGGTCTCCATAGGTGACAATGAGATGTTTCTCACAGTCCTCACCATGGTGCTCTCTCGTGAGCTCCTCAGCCTTTAACAAGTTAGCCATTGCCTCCTCTGGGTAACCCTTCAGGTATTTGATGTAGGCCAGAATGCTGAATGTCCGTGCAATCCCTGCCTTTTTCCCGAGACCTAACTCAATCTGGTCCTTGAGCCTGGTCTGTAGATTATCAGTATCCATGTCATCTTCCTTCAAATCCCAGGTGAAGCGGCACTCCAGTTGAAGTAGTTTGGTTCGAATGGAGCTGAAAATAGTATATATTAGTGACTATATTATTGACAATTTCACATAGCTCATTGTTACAAAAATCATAGATTTTGGCAAGTGTTCATTCAGAATCTAATTTGGTTCACTGTATTACCATGTGCTTAGTAAAGTAGTCATAGAAAGACATAAGATGGCAAATTTACCTCATTTCAATAGCACTTGCACATAAAGCAACAACTGTGCTCAGGTGGCTACACTCCGATAATGAGCAACTGCTGTGCTGGACTGCTGTCACACCATTCGCGTTCCGTGCCCAGGTAGAATATTTGTTTTATATTAAGCAGAAGTGTAAAGTAGCCTACGGTAGTTGACGTCTTTTTCAATAATAGTACCAATTGGCGTCCCTATATGAAGCGAAAGGACGAGTATTGTCACTCTGGAAGCAGTGGCGGCTCCTGAAAAAATTCTCAGGAGGGGCAATTTTTCTGATGATTTAGGTGACCTACACACATTTAAAAAAAGATATGTCCAGCAACAACATGAAGACAGGGGCAGCATATAAGTCAATACCAGAAGCATTTATTGACTGATCTCAAAAGTGTTGGCTTACCAGGGTTGGTGGAGCCCTCAGTTTCATCTTTGCCTCGCAAAGCTAACTCAAACACTCCGCAAAACTTCACACACTGGATTAGCCGGCTGAGGATGTGGCGGTTCTTGCTAATGTCGTAGTAAATATATTTGTTATAGTGAATATGGAATATGATATGTTGAGTAAAATGTTGTGCTAAGATCTATTTAGGTCAGGAGCTGGTTATAAGTTATGTTCCTATCCAATAACAATGGACAAAAGGGTCCTATCTTGTCAGCCTTGTCAGCAGGTGGCCAAGGACAACACCCACGCCATAGGCCTCTCAGTTCTTCCAACTCACGAGTTCTTGCTCTGAGGACACACACACACACAAACACACACACACACACATCATCACTGTTAAACACACACACACACACACATCATCACTGTTAAACACACACACACACACACACACACACAAAAATCCCCTCTCTTAGGCTGAACATTTGAAGACAGAGAACCCGACTCAGAGCCAATGCAACAGTGACAGTAGCCTGCAGGGGACCTCGCCCAACTCATCAGGACCAATCAGAAGATCAGAACTACTAGATTGAACCTACTTCATTTATTGCATAAAATGTCTGCACACAATGTTTCGGGGCTCTCTTCAGATAATAATAATAATAATAATAATAATAATAATAATAATATGCCATTTAGCAGACGCTTTTATCCAAAGCGACTTACAGTCATGCGTGCATACATTTTTGTGTATGGGTGGTCCCGGGGATCGAACCCACTACCTTGGCGTTACAAGCACCATGCTCTACCAGCTGAGCTACAGAAAGTGGAGATACTCATGGATGCGCATTGCAATTGTAAAATGTCAACACAATTGGAGACACCACGTCATTTTTGGAGACATGTTATTGACAGTAAACTATTGTAGATGCGACTGCTAACTAAATAAAACATTTTAGCTGGCTAGCTAATCATCTTAGCTAAATGTGGGGCAAACAATTCAGTTATTTACCGTTAATTTGAGGGATTGGGGTGAAAGAAATCGAGTTACATAGTGATACTTTACGATATACTGTATTGACAATATCGCAATATTTTAGCGCTAGTTGGCTGTACCTGCACCAAAACACCATTATTGTTCCTTCATAGCTTGTTCTCAATCTTTTCACATTGGGAGCCAATTTGTTTTCAGCACTTTTATTTCCATGACTGATCAAAACTCGTTCTCATGGCTTTCTGATCCCTCTGCAACAGACATATGGTGCGCAATAAAATCACAGTATCGAATCGCAATACGTATAGAATCATGAGACTCGCAATGCTGATGCATATATCTTATCGTGAGGTTCCTGGCAATTCCCAGCCCAAGTTCATTTGCCACAACAAATCTCTTCGCTAGCAAACGCGATGTCTTCCAAAACGGCAATGTGTCTCCAGCAATGTTTACTTTTTTGACGTTCTATGGCATCTCCAATTTCCAAGCATATATGACCACATGTAATATTTTGGTAAGTGATGCAAATAGTGAACTATGTAGGGCCAGGATGTAAAATATATGTAGCTGCAGCAATTTCTCTTATCTGATATGGTAAGTAATGGGGCTTAATTTATAGCTCCCTAAGAGTTTGACGAACGGGTCCGTGAACGCGATTCCAGATATATTTACCTCTGAATAAACTGCCTTTATTACACCATATCCACATCCAGTAAACTTGTGATTATCAACACTAACCTCATCGTTGTGGCGGCGGACAGCTAGCCTGTATCCCTCGTCATCCAGTTGAGTGAGTGGCAATGTCTTTTTTCGTTCGTACCAATTTTTGGAAAATCCTCGGGTGTAGGACTTTCCGCCTTTAGTAGAAACCTGTTGAATTATTAAATTTGGTCTGGGAGGTCCTAATTGTTTCGTTGCCAATTTATCTTCATTTGTTCGCCGACAAAAAGGAACTTCTTTCAAACAATCCACTCTTTTCTCAGTTACGTTCATGGTTACGTAACGTATGACGAAAGCGCGTAAGTGCAAGCCCACAGACACCCATTGAGATTGTATTGAAGGCTCTGAAATTTGAAAAAAATAGATTTTACATGGGAGTCTATGACAGACTTCTGGGCGATTTTCAACCTGACTGAAATCGCCCCAAAAGGGGGGGGAGCCATTTGAAGCACGACTTTAGCCTGATTCGACATTTAGTGGCAGTGTGGCACTGTGGCAGATCAGACGTATAGATTACAACACTGATAACTACTGTTGCCGTGATATAATTGATTAGAAAAAAAATCCCTTCCTTTTCCCGTTTGGCAGTGCGTCGCCCATATCGCCCTATTGAACAGGCCGCCCCTGTCTGGAAGACTAGTCCAACAATTCTCCGAGTTGCTTAGAGTAGCCTAAGTTTCGTTTCTTCTCATCCAGTGAACGATTACCTCACGTGGGAGTGGCCTTTAATGGATGACGCGCGCGTCCTCAGTGAGAGGGATATGCGTAATCGACATAACACAGCACATATTTTGCTCCACAGAAATTCTGTTTTGGAGATATTATGAAGAAAATATATCTTACATTTGAAATCAATGGCGTTGTAAAACTTCAGAAAGTAAATGTCAATTTAATAACAGTTGAGTGCAGGGCATTCATCCAAACCTGGAGATATAGAGACAGACCATGTTTTACTCTGGTATATTATTACTGTACTGAGAGTTGCCTATTCTCTGATAATGATGTTCCAGTCTCCTGAAAATGCTTATAAGCCACCAGATACATTGCACGTCAGATGCAGGTAACTGCCAAAATAACGGAAACACTTAAGTAAATAAGAGATACAAAGTATATTGAAAGCAGGTGCTTCCACACAGGTGTGGTTCCTGAGTTAATTAAGCAGTTAACATCAAATCTAATCAAATGTTATTTGTCACATGCACCGAATACAACAGGTGTAGACTTTACACTGAAATGCTTACTTACAAGCCCTTAACCAACAATGCAGTTTTAAGAAAGAATACCTAAAAAAAAGAAAAAGAAAAAAAAGTAACAAATCTTTAAAGAGCAGCAGTAAAATAACAATAGCGAGGCTATATACAGGGGGTACAGGTACCGAGTAATATGTATATGTAGGTAGAGTTATTAAAGTGACTATGCATAGATAATAAACAGAGTAGCAGCAGCGTAAAAGAAGGGGGGGGGGGGTGCAATGCAAATAGTCTGGGTAGCCATTTGATTAGATGTTCAGGAGTCTTATGGCTTGGGGGTAGAAGCTGTTTAGAAGCCTCTTGGACCTAAACTTGGCGCTCCGGTACAGCTTGCGGTGCGGTAGCAGAGAGAACAGTCTATGACTAGGGTGGCTGGAGTCTTTGACAATTTTTAGGGCCTTCCTCTGACTGCCTGGTATAGAGGTCCTGGATGGCAGGAAGCTTGGCCCCAGTGATGTACTGGGCCGTACGCACTACCCTCTGTAGTGCCTTGCGGTGGGAGGCTGAGCAGTTGCCATACCAGGCGGTGATGCAACCAGTCAGGATGCTCTCAATGGTGCAGCTGTATAACCTTCTGAGGATCTGAGGACCCATGCCAAATCTTTTCAGTCTCCTTAGGGGGAATAGGTTTTGTCGTGCCCTCTTCACGACTGTCTTGGTGTGCTTGGACCATTTTAGTTTGTTGGTGATGTGGACACCAAGGAACTTGAAGCTCTCAACCTGCTCCACTACAGCCCCGTCGATGAGAATGGGGGCGTGCTCGGTCCTCTTATCTTTCCTGTAGTCCACAATCATCTCCTTTGTCTTGATCATGTTGAGGGAGAGGTTGTTGTCCTGGCACCACACAGCCAGGTCTCTGACCTCCTCCCTATAGGCTGTCTCGTCGTTGTCGGTGATCAGGCCTACCACTGTTGTGTCATCGACAAACTTAATGATGGTGTTGGAGTCGTGCCTGGCCATGCAGTCATGAGTGAACAGGGAGTACAGGAGGGGACTGAGCATGCACCCCTGAGGGGCCCCCGTGTTGAGGATCAGCATGACAGATGTGTTGTTACCTACCCTTACCACCTGGGGGCGGACCGTCAGGAAGTCCAGGATCCAGTTGCAGAGGGAGATGTTTAGTCCCAGGGTCCTTAGCTTAGTGATGAGCTTTGAGGGCACTATGGTGATGAACGCTGAGCTGTAGTCAATGAATAGCATTCTCACATAGGTGATCCTTTTGTCCAGGTCTGAAAGGGCAGTGTGGAGCGCAATAGAGATTGCATCATCTGTGGATCTGTTGGGGCGGTATGCAAATTGGAGTGGGTCTAGGGTTTCTGGGATAATGGTGTTGATGTGAGCCATGACCAGCCTTTCAAAGCACTTCATGGCTACAGACGTGAGTGCTACGGGTCAGTAGTCATTTAGACAGGTTACCTTAGTGTTCTTGGGCACAGGGACTATGGTGGTCTGCTTGAAACATGTTGGTATTACAGACTCAGACAGGGAGAGGTTGAAAATGTCAGTGAAGACACTTGCCAGTTGGTCAGCGCATGCTCGGAGTACACGTCCTGGTAATCCTTCTGGCTCTGCAGCCTTGTGAATGTTGACCTGTTTAAAGGTCTTACTCACATTGGCTACGGAGAGCGTGCTCACACAGTTGTCCAGAACAGCTGATGCTCTCATGCATGTTTCAGTGTTACTTGCCTCGAAGCGAGTATAGAAGTAATTTAGCTCGTCTGGTAGGCTCGTGTCACTGGGCAGCTCGCGGCTGTGCTTCCCTTTGTAGTCTGTAATAGTTTGCAAGCCCTGCCACATCCGAGTCCCGCTCCTTGAAAGTGGCAGCTCTACCCTTTAGCTCAGTGCAGATGTTGCCTGCAATCCATGGCTTCTGGTTGGGGTATGTACGTACAGTCACTGTGGGGATGACTTCATCGATGCACTTATTGATGAAGCCAGTGACTGACGTGGTGTACTCCTCAATGCCATCGGATGAACCCCGGAACATATTCCAGTCTGAGCTAGCAAAACAGTCCTGTAGCTTAGCATCTGCTTCATCTGACCACTTTTTTATTGACCAAGTCACTGGTGCTTCCTGCTTTCGTTTTTGCTTGTAAGCAGGAATCAGGAGGATAGAATTATGGTCAGATTTGCCAAATGGAGGGCGAGGGAGAGCTTTGTACGCATCTCTGTGTGTGGAGTAAAGGTGGTCTAGAGTTTTTTTTCCCCTCTGGTTGCACATTTAACATGCTGGTAGAAATGAGGTAAAACGGATTTAAGTTTCCCTGCATTAAAGTCCCCGGCCACTGGATGAGCGTTTTCCTGTTTGCTTATGGCCGTATACAGTTCATTGAATAGACAGCTACGAAGAATATAGATGAAAACTCTCTTGGTAGATAGTGTGGTCTACAGCTTATCATGAGATACTCTACCTCAGGCGAGCAAAACCTTGAGACTTCCTTAGATATCGTGCACCAGCTGTTGTTTATAAATATACACAGACAGCCACCCCTTGTCTTACCAGAGGCTGCTGCTCTATCCTGCTGATACAGTGTATAACCCGCCAGCTGTATGTTATTCATGTCGTCTTTCAGCCACGACTCTGTGAAACATAAGATATTACAGTTTTTAATGTCCCATTCATCCACTTTATTATCAAGCGATTGTACGTTGGCCAATAGTACCGATGGCAAAGGCAGATTAGCCGGCTCCTTACCAGGCACCCCAATCACCTTCCGCAAAATCCCCTTCTCTTTCTACTGCGAATGACGGGGATGAGGGCCCTGTCAGGTGTCTGGAGCAAATCCCTCTCGTCCGACTCATTAAATAAACATTTATCGTCCAGTTCAAGGTGAGTAATCGCTGTTCTGATATCCAGAAGCTCTTTTCGGTCAAAATAGACGGTAGCAGCAACATTATGTACAAAATAAGTTACAAACAATGCGATAAAACCAACAAAATAGCACGGTTGGTTAAGAGCCTATAAAACAGCAGCCATCCCCCTCCGGCGCCATCCCATCATGCTTAGGGAGGTGCCCAACGGCCTATTAAGACACTTTATGTTAGTGTTTCCTTTATTTTGGCAGTTACCTGTATTTTATAATGAAAACAGAAGTGCAGAATATTGGTGTGCAAAGTAGACATTGTTATAGCAGACCAACCAAATACCAACCAAAGGGCATAAGACAGTAGACAAATTAGGGCCTTTTAACCAGTTTTTGGCAAATAAACATTAGTTTATTGAATCGATGCTATGAGTTGCTTTTCAAAGTTTCATTTCCTCTGACAATGTCATCAAATAGTGAGTGATTATAACTAGGCATAGGGTTTTGGTCCTCAAAGCCTGGTTTACTGAGGATAGGCTTTAACTGTCAATACCTATAGGCCTACTGTTCCATATGGACAAGTTGAGGCCCATTCCTCCAAACTCCCACACAGATTTATCTCATTTTCATCAAAGCTCATGTTTCAGGAAATGGGATGATGGATCCATTTGCATTTGAGATACTATAGCCTATGTATCATAAACATGGTAGAGCTGCATTTATTGAGGAATACTTAACCATGTAATAAGTCATTTACATTTAGATTTACATTTACATCATTTAGCATACACTCTTATCCAGAGCGACTTACAAATTGGTGCATTCAACTTATGATACCACTTTTTTCTTTTTTTTAAATGGGGGGGTGGGGGAAGGGGGGGTAGAAGGATTGCGTTATACTATTCCAGGTATTCCTTAAAGAGGTAGGGTTTCAAGGGTTTCTTTTTTCGGACTTGGACAGCGACGGGTGAGGTTGTGTCTCTCTCTGGCGGGAGGTAAGCTTGGCTCATATGGTGTCGAGTAAAGATTAAACCATGTATTTAGATTGTAGGTAGGTAGGTATTGTAGTTAGGTATTGTAGGTAGTTTATCTAGGTAGTTATTGTAGGTTATTGTAGGTAATTATTGTAGGTAAGTATTGTATTCGGCTGAGCCTGGTGAAGCACGAGGCTAGCTAACCCACTACCTGGACCAATAAAGCTAGCTAGCTAGAAGGTAGCTACTGGTAACTATTAGCAACTGTGGATAGTTGTTTCCAATGTTATTCCACGCTTAAGAGTACCTGTAATTATGCCAGCTAGCTACCTACCATTCAGCTGTTTTTCTAACCTCATTATCTGAAGCGTTAACGTTAGGTAGTTAGTAGCTACTGTACTCGAAATGTACAGTAGCTACTACATTTTATATAATAACATATAATAACATTTTATTATAATATAAAAATGATGTTGGCCATAATACAGAAGCTGTCTTCGGGTGATTATAGTCAGCGTACCAAAGTCACTGTCACCAGAGTCTTGTTTTCACTGTCTGATTGCATTACACACAATAATTCTGTAATAAAAAATGTATGTCATGTAGTCAAGGAATACACAAGCAATGTTGGCTTTTGCAGTCAAGTAGAAAATAATGTTAACATGCTCAAAGATTGTGGTAATATCTTTTATTATCTTTACACAATGTTAATGTCAGATACATGAGCTATTACAGTTGAATGGTCATATCTAATTAACCTGAAATGGGACACATCCAAATACATAGAATATGTTACTTATAGAAAACATGTTTCTAACTCTATATTTATTTTGAAATCAAACTTAAGAAACGTACACACTACTTGAAGTTACAGTTACAGAACAGAAACACATTTAAATGCAATCAATGGAAACCATGTGTTACAGTAAGGTTTATCATGTAAATGTCATTCCTTTGCCGAAGGCACCTGTAAGGTAATCTGTGTTTCAAATCAAATCAAATTTGTCACATGCGCCGAATACAACAGGTGTAGACCTTACCGTGAAATGCTTACTTACAAGCCCTTAACCAACAATGCAGTTAAAGAAATAGAGTTAAGAAAATATTTACTAAATAAACTAAAGTAAAAAATATGAAATAAAAAGTAACACAATAAAATAACAATAACGAGGCTATATACAGGGGGTACCGGTCCCGAGTCAATGTGCGGGGGTACAGGTTAGTCGAGGTAATTTGTACATGTAGGTAGGGGTAAAGTGGCTTGCAGAGTGAATCTTGGCTCTCCTGGTGTACTCCTCAGCCTTCCTATCCTCTTTGTCCTCAGTGGCGAGGAACGGCAAAATCTCAAAGGCTTCGCAGACTCTCTTCTTGTTAGCCTGATGCCTCCCTGCAATCTGCTTCAGCCACTTCCTAGCCTGCTTCCTGTCCCAACTCTCAATCGGAATCCGGTAGGCCTTTTTGAAGTATTTCACATCGCCATCCTGGTGTTTCTTCTTGTAGAACAGAAACAGGCCGAAGCCGGTGTAGCAGTGTTGCTTGTCTGAGTCACTGTGGGACTCTTCCTCTAACAGGACAGTGAACATCTTCATCGGAAGTTGCATTATGGCCTACATACAATATGCAAGTAGGGATATTTTCAGCCAGTTGGCCATATGCCAATAGTTTTTTCACACGCAAATCTAAAATAAATCTATTTTCATTTAATGATGTTGGCCATCATAATATCTGTCTTCATATGGTGGTAGTCAGCACTGCAATGTCTCTGTCACCAGAGCCACAGCCTACCCCCTTATATATAGCCTACTGTCACGTTCGTTGAGTAAAGGATCGGACCAAGGTCCAACAGAACGTGAAGTTCAAGAGGCTACACATACAACAAGCCAAACAGTAATAGAAACAAGATCCCACAACTAAGGTAGGCAACATGGCTGCCTAAGTATGATCCCCAATCAGAGACAACGATCGACAGCTGCCTCTGATTGGGAACCACACCCGGCCAACATAGAAATACACAATCTAGAATTCACATAGATATTCACACCCTGACCAAACCAACTAGAGATCTCTATGTCAGGGCGTGACAGTACCCCCCCCAAAAGGTGCGGACTCCGGCCGCAAAACCTGACTCATTAGGGGAGGGTCCGGGTGGGCATTTAGCCTCGGTGGCGGCTCCGGCTCCGGGCGCGACGTCAACCTTACTGTCCTCTCCTTTTCTGGCTCCCCGTTGCACACCTGGTCTGGTCTGGACCCCGGCGCAATGCTTCCCCTCTCAGTCCTCCCACGATGCACCAAGCCCTGTCTGGACCCTGGTGTGGGAGGCACTGACCCTGGAGAGGGGCTGACGTCTGGGCCTGGACCGGCAATCCTCCCGTGATGCACCAAGCCCTGTCTGGACCCTGGTGTGGGAGGCCCCGACCCTGGAGAGGGGCTGACGTCTGGTTCTGGCTCTGCAGATCTCCCGCGATGCACCAAGTCCTGTCTGGACCCTGGTGTGGGAGAGTAGACGACCGGACCCGGACTTGGCACCGGTGGAGCGGACTACTCTGGCACTGGAGTGGAGCCGCTGACCGGAGCTGAACTGGACCCCGGTGGAGCGGACTGCTCTGGCACTAGAGTGGAGCAGCTGACCGGAGCTAGACTAGGCACCGGTGGCGTGGACTGCTCTGGCACTGGAGTGGAGCAGCTGACCGGAGCTGGACTGGGCACCGGTGGAGCGGACTGCTCTGGCACTGGAGTGGACCATACCGGGCTGGGGACACGCACCACTGGTTTGGTGCGAGGAGCAGGTACGGGGCGCACCGGGCTGGCGACACGCACCACTGGTTTGGTGCGAGGAGCAGGTACGGGCCGTACAGGACTGGCGACACGCACCACTGGTTTTGTGCGTGTAGCAGGCACAGGCCATACAGGACTGGAGACACGCACCACTAGTTTAGTGCGAGGAGCAGGCACGGGCCGTACCGGTCTGTGAAGGCGCACTGGCGGCACAGTGCGTAAAGCCGGCGCATAGCCTGGTGCCTGCACGGTCACCCGCTCCTCAAAGCGAGTGCGGGGAGTTGGCTCTCTTCTGAAACTTGGCTCCTCCAGCCTCTGCTCTAAGGACTGAGTTCTCTGCTGCTGGAGGGTTAACTCCTCTCTCAGCTCCTCCTGTTGTCTGGCCAGCTCCTCTCTCCGTGCATCCACTGACTCCTTCTCCCTGTGGGCCTCCTGGAGCGCCTCCCTCTGAAGGGAGAGCTCCTTATCTCTCTTAGCTAACAGCCCCTGTAAGGTAGTTATCTCCTCTCTCAGAGTGCTGAGCTGCATGTCTTGGAGGGCCTCCATAATAGCGGCCTCCTCTTCCTCCACAGTCAGCACTTTCAGGGCCTCCTTCTGCTCCGTGTGCCCCCCCCCCAAAAAAATGTATTGGGGCTGCCTCTCGTGCTTCCTTCGCGGTCGGCACCGTCGGCGTCGCCGTTGATCCTCTCCTGCCTGGGCTTCCTCCTTCGCCCAGGGTCCTTTACCGGCTAATATCTCCTCCCATGTCCAAAATGTCTTCCCCACCTGTGTCCAGGTTGTCTGCTCATCCTGGCCACGCTGCTTGGTCCGTTGGTGGTGGGATCTACTGTCACGTTCGTTGAGTAAAGGATCGGACCAAGGTGCAGCGTGGTATGCGTACATAGTCGTTTATTATATAAACACCGACAAAATAACAAAATCCAACAGAACGTGACGTTCAAGAGGCTACACATACAACAAGCCCAACAGTAATAGAAACAAGATCCCACAACTAAGGTAGGCAACATGGCTGCCTAAGTATGATCCCCAATCAGAGACAACGATCGACAGCTGCCTCTGATTGGGAACCACACCCGGCCAACATAGAAATACACAATCTAGAATTCACATAGATATTCACACCCTGACCAAACCAACTAGAGATCTCTATGTCAGGGCGTGACACCTACTCACTACACTTATTAATATCTGTAAATACTTAGAGGGAACAATAAGAAGCTTTAATATTTGGCCTTTATGTTGGTTTTTGGAACAAAGTAGAAAGAAGCAAGTTAACAAGCTCAAAGATCATCAGGTTTTTGGCAGTATGTTTTATTATCTCTTTCACAATGTTAACGCCAGTTACAAGGGCAACAACAGTTGAACGGTCAGTGAAGATATCTAATCAACTACCTGAAAGAGGACACATCCAAAGACATAAAAACATGTTTTCCTAAAGTAATACATTCTAATTGTATTTTAAATTTTTTGCATTTTTTACCCCAAAAAATAACATAAGAAACATGCACTTAACTTGAAGTTACTGTTACACTTTAAAACCATTAAAATGCATGTAGCAGTATTCCTATAAGCCAAATCAAATCAAATCAAATCAAATCAAATTTTATTGGTCACATGCGCCGAATACAACAGGTGCAGACATTACAGTGAAATGCTTACTTACAGCCCTTAACCAACAGTGCATTTATTTTAAACAAAAAAGTAAGAATAAAACAACAACAAAAAAGTGTTGAGAAAAAAAAGAGCAGAAGTAAAAAATAAAGTGACAGTAGGGAGGCTATATATACAATAGAATAAAGTGACAGTAGGGAGGCTATATATACAGGGGGGTACCGTTGCATAGTCAATGTGCGGGGGCACCGGCTAGTTGAGGTAATATGTACATGTGGGTAGAGTTAAAGTGACTATGCATAAATACTTAACAGAGTAGCAGCAGCGTAAAAAGGATGGGGTGGGGGGGCAGTGCAAATAGTCCGGGTAGCCATGATTAGCTGTTCAGGAGTCTTATGGCTTGGGGGTAGAAGCTGTTGAGAAGTCTTTTGGACCTAGACTTGGCACTCCGGTACCGCTTGCCGTGCGGTAGCAGAGAGAACAGTCTATGACTAGGGTGACTGGAGTCTTTGACAATTTTGAGGGCCTTCCTCTGACACCGCCTGGTATAGAGGTCCTGGATGGCAGGGAGCTTTGCCCCAGTGATGTACCATACGTTGTGTAACAGTAAGATAGGGGAGGTGGGGTGGTTGGTTGTCACACCTTTCACTCTAATGTGTATTTCTCAGCACCAGTATATCTTACAAGACTATTTTCGATGTTAGGAGAAAGACCAAGGTCAAGGGTTGAAATCAGTGGTGGAAAAAGTACCCAATTGGGATACTGGAGTAAAAGTATAGATATCTTAATAGAAGGTTACTCAAGTAAAAGTTAAAGTCACCCAGTATAATACTACTTGAGTAAAAGTCTAAAAGTATTTGGTTCTAAATATACTTAAGTATCAAAAGTAAAATGTAATTGCTAATATATACTTAAGTATCAAAAGTAAAAGTAAAAGTATAAATCATTTCAAATCCTTATATTAAGCAAACGCCACCATTTTCTTGTTTTTAAAATGTACGGATAGCCAGGGGCACACTCCAACACTCAGACATAATTTACAAATTATGCATTTGTGTTTAGTGAATCCGCCAGAGCAGAGGCAGTAAGGATGACCATGTGTTCTCTTGATAAGTGTGTGAATTGGATCATTTTCCTGTCCTGCTAAGCATTCAAAATGTAACGAGTACTTTTGGGTGTCAGGGAAAATGTATGGACTAAAAAGTAAAAGTAAAAGTTGTCAAAAATATTAATAGTAAAGTTCAGATACCCCAAAAAATGACTTAAGTAGTACTTTGAAGTATTTTTACTTAAGTAACACTGGTTGAAATGGGACCCAAGCCCCATTGCGGGGTTGGATGTCACACAGTATGGGGTTGGTTGTCACAATGTTTGCTAGTAACTTATTCCCTTTGAAACAGGAAATGAAGCAATACAGTACACAGTCTTAGAAATAGACTTTCTTTGATCGAACGATATTCCTAACAAAATTCAGCATTTTATGCCGTGAGGATAACATATTACATTTTCAGTGAATTTGTGTGTGTATGCGTGCTTGCACATGCGTGTGTGGGTGAGTGACAGAAAACATATGTGTGTGAGAGAAAGGCAACGTAGGGAGCTCTTTGTATCACAAGAACAAAATAGTTTGGGATTTATTGTATACTGGCAGTGGCAATGTTGAAAGTGACAATCAACCCCATATTCCATGTGACAACCATCCCCAACCATCCCCCCAATGCTAATGAAGATGCTAGTTAGCTTGATCTAGGAATTGGTTTGAAATATATCGCTCTCTTTCCTCTTTTCAACAAACATTGTTCATGGATACTCCGATAATTCAAATATTTACAAAGATTTAATTTTTTTACTTTTACAGTGGCTTGCAAAAGTTTTCACCCTCCTTGGCATTTTTCCTATTTTATTGCCTTACAACCTGGAATTAAAATGGATTTTTGTGGGGTTTGTATCATTTGATTTACACAACATGCCTACCACTTTGACGATGCAAAATATGTTTAATTGTGAAACAAACAAGAAATAAGACAAAAAAACTTAAAACTTGAGCGTGCATAACTATTCACCCCCCCAAAGTCAATACTTTGTAGAGCCACCTTTTGCAGCAATTACAGCTACAAGTCTCATGGGGTATGTCTCTATAAGCTTGGCACATCTAGCCACTGGGATTTTTGCCCATTCTTCAAGGCAAAACTGCTCCAGCTCCTTCAAGTTGGATGGGTTCCGCTGGTGTACAGCAATCTTTAAGTCATACCACAGATTCTCAATTGGATTGAGGTCTGGGCTTTGACTAGGCCATTCCAAGACATTTAAATGTTTCCCCTTAAACCACTCGAGTGTTGCTTTAGCAGTATGCTTAGGGTCACTGTCCTGCTGGAAGGTGAACCTCCGTCCCAGCCTCAAGTCTTTGGAAGACTGAAACAGGTTTCCCTCAACAATTTCCCTGTATTTAGCGCCATCCATCATTCCTTCAATTCTGACCAGTTTCCCAGTCCCTGCCGATGGTGTTCTCGGGGTGATGAGAGGTGTTGGGTTTGCGCCAGACATAGCAGACATAGTTTTCCTTGATGGCCAAAAAGCTCAATTTAATCTCATCTGACCAGAGTACCTTCTTCCATATGTTTGGGGAGTCTCCCACATGCCTTTTGGCGAACACCAAACGTGTTTGTTTATTTTTTTCTTTAAGCAATGGTTTTTTTTCTGGCCACTCTTCTGTAAAGCCCAGCTCTGTGGAGTGTATGGCTTAAAGTGGTCCTATGGACAGACACGCCAAACTCCGCTGTGGAGCTTTGCAGCTCCTTCAGGGATATCTTTGGTCTCTTTGTTGCTTCTCTGATTAATGCCCTCCTTGCCTGGTCCGTGAGTTTTGGTGGTTTGTTGTGGTGGCATATTCTTTAAATTTTTTATTAATGGATTTAATGGTGCTCCGTGGGATGTTCAAAGTTTCTGATATTTTTTTATAACCCAACCCTGATCTGTACTTCTCCACAACTTTGTCCCTGACCTGTTTGGAGAGCTCCTTGGTCTTCATGGTGCCGCTTGCTTGGTGGTGCCCCTGCTTGGTGGTGACCCACTGAGATCATGTGACAGATCATGTGACACTTAGATTGCACACAGGTGGACTTTATTTAACTAATTATGTGACTTCTGAAGGTAATTGGTTGCACCAGATCTTATTTAGGGGCTTCACAGTAAAGGGGGTGAATACATATGCACGCACCACTTTTCCGTTATTTATTTTTTTCGAATTTTTTGAAACAAGTTATTTTTTTTTCATTCCACTTCATCAATTTGGACTATTTTGTGTATGTCCATTCCATGAAATCCAAATAAAAATCAATTTAAATTACAGGTTGTAATGCAACAAAATAGGAAAAACGCCAAGGGGGATGAATACTTTTGCAAGTCACTGTACCTATGAAAAACACACAAATTCCCCTCACCTCAATGTTTTGTCATGCTGAAATGAATTGATCAGGTGGATGAAATTCTTTCACAGAATTCACACATTTTAACCTTAAAATGATTACACAGCGCCATTTAAATTGGGAGTAATTAGCACTGTGACAACCAACCCCGGTCTCCCATATTTCAATTGAGTTTCAGTCCTTTGCCTAGGGCATCTGTAAGGTCATCTGTGTCTGGAGAGTGCACCTTGACTCTCCTTGGCTCTTCAGACTTCCTCCCTTTTTTGTCTTCAGTGGTGAGGAATTCCAAAATCTCAGAGCCCTCGCCAATTCTCTTCTTGTTAGCAATCTGCTTCAGCCTCTTCCTTGCCTTATTCCTGTCCCAACTATCAATCGGAATCTGGTAGGCCTTTTTGAACTGGGTCACAGCACCATCCTCGTCTTTCTTCCTGAAGAACAGAAACAGGCCGAAGCTGGTGTAGCATTGCTGCTTGTCTGAGTCACTGAGGGACTCGTCTTTTAGCAGGTTGGTGAAGATCTTCATTGCCTCCTCCAGCTGGTAGTTTTCTCCGTAAGCCTCAGCCAGGTTCACTCTGAATTGGACGTTAGATGGCTTCAGTTCCACAGCTCTGGAGAAGTGATGGATGCAGACCCCCTTCTTCTCTTTTATCTGGCCGGTGTTGACCCATCTCCTTTTCTGTTTAGACATCTGGATGAGCTGCTCTTTGTGACACAGGCCGATTCTGTAATGCATGAAGGAGGAGTTTGGAGACAGTTCCAGAGCTTTCTCCAGAACCTCCAGGGTCTCATTGATGCCCTCGTGTCTGAAATAGTCGGCCACGTAACGTATGACGTGAGGCACGTCAGGAGACAGTCTGAGGGCCTCTTTGAGGAGTTTCATGGACTCATGTCTACTTTGGGTTTGAAGCTTCAGGGCTAGCAGGACCATAACCTCAGTGTTATCGGGCTCTAAGGATTTCCTTAGCTGATTGGCACCTTCAGTATGCGCCAACCTCACTCTTCCATCCCTGGCCAACCCCTCCAACCTGTACAGGACCATGGCATAGCCCACGTTGAAGGATGGATTGTCTGGTTCTCCCTCAAGAGCTTTCCGAAAGCTCTCCTTTGCCCCCTTGTAAAATAGCCCCCCAAGCCTTAGAAAACTCCAAGCCTTCTCACCGTGTATTGAAGGTAAGCTGCCTTGAATCGCACTCGTAATACCCTTATTGATGTTTTCCAGCTTTCCAATGTAGGCATCCACATCATTCGTGTTCCCTGAGTGATAGTGAACCCATGCAAAGTTAGCATAGGTTACCAGTAACTCTGTATCATCCCGTCTATCCTTCAATGCACTCTCAGCCTTGTGGAAATACTCAAGAGCACTAACATTGTTTTCCTCTAGGTGGCTCAGAAAGGCTAGTAAGTTGAAAAATGTGGCATGGTTCGGAGTGCTGAACGTCATGATGCGATCCAGAAGTTTTTCAGGGAGGCTGTCCCAGTCCTTGATGTTAGCCTTTTCTATTCCCCATGTAAAGTGACACTCAAGTGCTTTCAGCTTCACTTCCATATCTGTTTTGAGAGAAGCGCTATGAGAAAAAGCAAAAATACCCATTAGTATTTATTATAATATTATTATCCCATCATTGTTATCAGCCATCATCATCCTCATCAACCAAACCATCCCCATCATAATCACAACAGCATTGTCTTTTTTCTTTGTTTATTTAGGGGGTAGATCAGCTTTCATATTGCAGATAGATTGTAGCTTAAAATCATGATTTATTTAGCCTATACCATTTGTTATTTAGTATTGCTAATAATACCTATTATTTTTATGATCGACTTGACATAAAACAGTAATAAACAGTGTGGTGTGTTGCTTCAGATCAACTCAATTTCCATGTTATTTATCCAGAGGGGATAAATATGACAGTCGACAGGCGGACAACACATATAAAAGGGACAATAAAAAAGGTCTTCAGAGGTAGATGGGAGGGGATGAGGGTAGCTGAAGGATGGGATTAAAAACAACAAAAGATAACTATTGTAAAATACATTGTGTTCGTAGATTGTACAGGACCAGTCAAAAGTTTGGACACACCTACTCATTCAAGGGTTTTTCTTTATTTAAAAAAAATTCTACATTGTAGAATAATAGTGAAGACATCAAAACTATGAAATAACACATATGGAATCATGTAGTAACCAAAAAAGTGTTCAACTAATAAAAATATATTTGAGATTTGAGATTCTTCAAATAGCCACCCTTTGCCTTGATGACAGCTTTGCACACACTTAGCATTCTCTCAACCAGCTTTCTTCTGCCGGAATCACTGAATCACTGGACCTTAACAGCAGACCATCGCAACTAGCTAGCTGCAACCGAATGGCTGTTGTTGGCTAATCACCACTGTCCCGACGTACCAGTTAGCCTTGAGCTAGCCTCGAGCCAGGCCCATCTCCTGGCTATCTACCTCTCTGTCAACCAGACGGGACCTACTAGTGTCGACACGGAGCCCCGCCGATCCATCACAACTGGACTGCCGACGTAATCGTCTGATGTGGTTTCAACAGGCTTCCCGTTGCGACGACCACGAAGATCCATCTGCTAGCCCCGGCCCGCTAGCACGCGCAATCAACAGCCGTGCCTCCTGCTCGCCTGTGCTGTAGCAGCCTACGAACTGCTCCAGGACTTACTTATTGCTGTTCACTGGACCTTATGATCACTCAGCTACACAGCTAATGCCTGCTGGACTGTTCCTTTACACGGTACCCCATCCTGTTTATCTGTTTAGCCTCAGCCCAAACTTTTGTCGCCATTACCAGTTGCTATCTTAGCCCTCTCGAATAACACCTGTGATTGCGTTATGCCTCTCTCCCATGTCAATATGCCTTGCTTATTGCTGTTTCGGTTATTTCTTATTATACAATTTCACTGTAGAGCCCCCAGTCCCGCTCAACCAGCCTCAGAGAGCTCCTTTGTCCCACCCCATACACGCGGAGACCGGCTCAATCGGTACCTCCAGTGATGCTATCTCTTTCATAGTTACCCAATGCTTAGGTGTACCTCCACTGTACTCATATCCTTCCATATCCTTGTCTGTACTTAATGCCCTGAATCTATTCTACAACGCCCGGAAATCTGCCCCTTTTATTCTCTGTACCCAACGCACTAGAAGACCAGTTCTTAAAGCCTTTAGCCGTATCCTTATTCTATTCCTCCTCTGTTCCTCTGGTGATGTAGAGGTTAACCCAGGCCCTGTAGCCCCCAGTATCACTCCTACCCCCCAGGCACTATCATTTGTTGACTTCTGTAATCGTAAAAGCCTTGGTTTTTTGCATGTTAACATCAGAAGCCTCCTCCCAAAGTTTGAGTTATTCACTGCGTTAGCACACTCTGCCAACCCTGATGTTCTAGCAGTGTCTGAATCTTGGCTTAGGAAGGCCACCAAAAATTCAAAAATGTCCATCCCGAACTACAACATTTTCCGTCTAGATAGAACTGCCAAAGGGGGCGGAGTTGCAATCTACTGTAGAGATAGCCTGCAGAGCTCTATCATACTATCCAGGTCTGTGCCCAAACAGTTTGAGCTTCTACTTCTAAAAATCCACCTTTCCAGAAATAAGTCTCTCACCGTTGCCGCTTGCTACAGACCCCCCCTCAGCCCCCAGTTGTGCCCTGCACACCATATGTGAATTGCTTGCCCCCCATCTATCCTCAGAGTTCGTATTGCTTGGTGACCTAAACTGGGATATGCTTAACACCCCGGCCGTCCTACAATCTAAACTAGATGCCCTCAATCTCACACAAATTATCAAGGAACCTACCAGGTACAACCCTAAATCCGTAAACATGGGCACCCTCATAGATATCATCCTGACTAATTTACCCTCTAAATACACCTCCGCTGTCTTCAACCAGGATCACAGCGATCACTGCCTCATTGCCTGCGTCCGTAATGGGTCCGCATTCAAACGACCACCCCTCATCACTGTCAAACACTCCCTAAAACACTTCAGCGAGCAGGCCTTTCTAATTGACCTGGCCCGGGTATCGTGGATGGATATTGACCTCATTCCGTCAGTAGAGGATGCCTGGATGTTTTTTCGAAATTGTTTTCCTCTCCATCTTAAATAAGCATGCCCCATTCAAAAAATGCAGAACTAAGAACAGATATAGCCCCTGGTTCACCCCAGACTTGACTGCCCTTGACCAGCACAAAAACATCCTGTGGCGTACTGCATTAGCATCGAACAGCCCCCGCGATATGCAACTTTTCAGGGAAATCAGGAACCAATATACACAATCAGTTAGGAAAGCAAAGGTTAGCTTTTTCAAACAGAAATTTGCATCCTGTAGCACTAACTCCAAAAAGTTTTGGGACACTGTGAAGTCCATGGAGAATAAGAGCACCTCCTCCCAGCTACCCACTGCACTGAGGCTAGGAAACACTGTCACCACCGATAAATCTACGATAATCGAGAATTTCAATAAGCATTTTGCTACGGCTGGCCATGCTTTCCACCTGGCTACCCCTAGCCCGGCCACCAGCTCTGCACCCTCCGCTACAACTTGCCCATGCCCCCCACGCTTCTCCTTCACCCAAATTCAGATAGCTGATGTCCTGAAAGAGATGCTAAATCTGGACCCCTACAAATCAGCTGGGCTAGACAATCTGGACGCTTTCTTTCTAAAGCATAAATCGTCTGTGTCAGTCTAGGAGTCGCGTTTTCTTTTGGGAATTGGTTCTCAATGCTTACTCTCCAACATGTTTGGGTGTTGATTGTATTGGTAATATTGGTCGACACATTTCTCTAGTGTTATAATTTATTTTGTGTTATCGAGATTGAAGGTTATTGCCCACGAGTATGTGTAATGAATTGCTAATATTTAGTCAAATTTACAGATATTGAATATTACGTTTTTATCTTGAGGCATTCTGCTACGCTGTGTTTTTACATGTACATTTAAGTCATTTAGCAGACGCTCTTATCCAGAGCGACTTACAAATTGGTGCATTCAACTTATGATACGATAGCCAGTGGGACAACCAACCAAACAGCATTGTTTATTATTGTGTTATATTATTAAGTACATTAGAGAGAGAGATTTATGTGCATGTCATTCAATTATGTTACAATTTCTATAAAATTCTTACCTCATTTTACAGTCGATGGCAGAGAAGATAAGCTACAGTATTGAGATAATAAAAATCAGAGACACTACCCACTTCCAGGAATATCAAAGCTTTCTTTTAACAGAAACGAAAACGAAACTGATACGTGCTTGACTAGTTCAGGTATTCCCAGTTTATCATTTATCGACTTTAGCAAGTCGGTTTCCACATTTACCATTCCCGGTGGTGAAAAGCATAAATCGCCGTGCAGTGGCGACCCGTCATTCAGGGCACCTGTTTTGAGCCCCACATGTTTTGCATGTTATATTGTACTGTCCGTCTAGGGAGGGAGCGAGAGTTTAGCTAGGTCCAATGCATCTTTAGTTTTTCAGCAGGCACGGACTGACATTTTTCTTGGGATTTATAATTTTTGGGGATTCTGTAGTTGGAATGATATGCATCTCAGATGAAAGGGGAATGGTGCTTGCTAACGTTAGCTAGCGTTATAGCTCAGAGATGGGGAACTCCATTGGACACATTTCTCAAATATGTCTGGTTACTGTAGTTACAGCTCTGGGGGTGTATGTGATTTAGCAGAAGTGTAGTGGAATATTCCCCCCGCTTTTATTATCCTTATTAATCCATTAAATTAATTAATTCAGCAACAACATGCACAGACTGATATTTTGCCCAGCAGGATTTTAAAGTTATCTTTTATTTTCATTGTCTTCAGATTGTGTGGTTAGCTAGCTAACATTATTCAGGGGATGGTCGTGGCATTTTCCCGTGTGAGTTGAATTTTCCCTCATGCTTTTGCTAATCTTTCAGAAGTTATCCATATCCACCCATTAACGTTACATTAATTATATCTGAAACATCAGGCACAGACTGATATATATATATAATTTTGCCTTGTAGTCTATTACATCTTTTTTTCTTGATATTGTGTTGTTGGCATGAGTTGCATGATATGTGCATGCAATTTGGTGACTGGGGGTAGTGTAATTTTCATATTGCAGGCTGGCTGGTAGCTGGAAGTAGCTTTATTGGTAATGAACATGTGTAAATCCTGCAATTTCTATTGCCTAAATATTAAAGCATTCATTACTCATGCAAAAAAACATAGAAATGTGGCAAACTACAGTTTTGCTTGTGGGGTAGAGGAGTGCCCTTACATTTTTAAGAACTTCTCTGCTTTTAAATCCCATGTATATAGGCGTCATAAAAAGACAAGACCTCAGAATGAGGCGACTCAGCAAGGGGAATTCTCATGGACCTGTCAGGTTCAGGGATGCTCATTTCAGAACCCTGTTTTTTCAGTTTTGTGTGGTCATTTGAGATGGCATATCAGAGATGGGGAAAAAGGTGTCTTGTCCCCATAGAGGCTGCTCCAGATATTTCCGGGTCAGGCCATCTTTTAACTCCCATCAGAGCAGAAAACTTAAGGAGC